TAAAGACTAGCTTAAGAATGGAAACTGGTACCATAAACTACAAAGGGATAAGACTGTGATGAATCCCATTCTCCTTACCAAAAAGAAAAGCACAAGATTACTATCTTCCAAATAACATCCACTTTTAAACTTACATGTGCTTCACTTACTTCAGGGCTCAGGACTGCGGTGCTGTCACTTGGAACATCTTCTTCATATCCTTTATTATGAAAACTTTCTATTTCATGACCTGTGCTTCCTTCACTTGGGCACTTGTTATATGAGCATCGTGGACTGTTGCTGCAGTGGGAAAATTCACATTTACCATCCCCAATTTCTGAAGGTGTACATGAGAGATGGGGAGAACCACTGTCATCCTGATATGGTGGTGGTTGCAATTCATCCAGCGGCGGTGTTCTTCTCATTCTCTGAATGCAGTTTCCTGATAATGATTAAGAATCTGGTCACTGTTTCCAATTAGCCTCAAAATGAAGTACGGTCTACAGTAATTGTAAATAGCTTAAAAACACAGGATTAAAAATTTTGCAGAAATATAACTATTAGATTTACTAAATCAGTGTCCTTCTTCCCTAGTTGAGGTGCAGAAACAAAATAATCTTGTTTCCACTCCTCCCTTCCTGCAAAGATCAGAAAAAATAAATCATAAACTTAGAGAGGCCCTGTTATATACCATAAAAATAAGTTTTTGTTAAATAGGTTTTTTAATTTGGTTCACTCTCTCAAAACAACCCAGCAGCATACATACTTTGTCTTTTCCCTGTGATTTGTGGCTTCTTAGCCAAAGCAATAAAAACATAGTAGGCTAAACAAACATAAAACCCTCATTTTTTTTTTTTTTAGTTATTGAGAAGAACTTAAACCTGCTTTTGATTCAGCAAGGTCAGGACTGTTTTTTTCACATCTATTCTGGATCTAGAATCCTAAAATGATGTGCCCTATGAATCAGATCCAAACTCTGTTTGTTAATCTCCACCACACAGCAAAAATTTACAGTTCTGCTGTCTTTTCTCCATTACATGTCCCCATTCCTTGAGTCTGTAGCCCTCCTAAAGCATGATTCCTCCTGGTCTACATGAGTTATCTCCCAATTCTAGGAATAATTTGAATCAGTGTTTTTCACTTTTAAAAGATCA